CACTTATGCAATTGTCTTCAAGCTTGTAAAACACTTTATACTGAAATAATGAGGGAATTATCTTTATATTCTGTAAGAGGAAAAATCAAATTTATATACTAAAATAACTTGTCTAAAGGTTTTGAAATAAAAGTGAAAATGCACTTCAGGTGTTTGTCACTCTTGACCTTGAGTGTGGACTATCTCATCATTGCTGAGAAGCAAAGACTTTGCTATTCTAAGTGAACTGATGTTTCAGCCTTGCTGTAATATTCTTCTGCAAGGTAGTGCTTTGCCCCTAACAGCTAACCCTGTAATGCCCTTGGATATGGGCATTCACCAATCCAGTATTATCATAGAATGGCTTGGGTTGGAAGGGACCTTGAGGGTCATCAGAGATGGGGCATCCACAACCTGTCTGGGCAACCTGTTCCAGCACCTCACCACCCTCGCAGTGAAAAACTGTCATTCATAAAGGTGTTGAAGCGCACCAGTTCCAAGACAGACCACTTGTCACCAGCCTTCACCTGGCCATAGAGCTGTTGACCGTAATCTTCTGTCTATGACTTCCAACCAATTCCTTATCCATCAGATAGTCCACCTTTAAAATCTGTATCTCTCAATTTTAGAGATGAGGATGTTAGTGAGGAACCACGTCAAAGGCTTTGAAGTCCAGGTAGATGACATCAGTTGCCTTCCCTTTGTCCACTGATGCCATCACATATAGAAAGCTACTAGGTTAGTCAGGAATGACCTTCCCTTGCTGAAGCTGTGCTGGCTGTCTCAGATAACCTGTTTATCCTATGTGTGCCTTAGCGTGTCTTCCAGGAGGATCTACTCCATGATCATCCCAGGCACAAAGGTGATGCTTACTGGCCTGTAGTTCCCCAGATCTTCCCTCTCTTATAAATGGGAATGGCGTTTTCCTTTTTGTCACGTTATGAAATGTGGAAAGTATTAAAGGTTGTTCCAGCATTGTTCAGCCCTGTTCATGGTAGTCAACAGATACGTGGCTTCATTAAACTTTGAAGAAGGCTACATCTTCATTTGGTATGAGAAGCCTCAATCTAGATTCAGCTATTACATGAAAATTATACCATTCTGCAGAGAAAGCAATGTTGACATAACCTATCATAGGGCTTTTAGGTCTTATAGCTGAAGATTAAGGTGGTTCTGATCTGCAACTGCCATGAGGGATATAGAGTCATGTAAGCATGCTGTGCAGTGTGCTCACTTCCCTGAATGTTAAGAGAAAGAAAGGCTGTAACATTGTGCTTTTATGACCAACGGTGAAATGCAGATTATGAATGCCTAAACTTGAGTTTGCAAGTAACAGCACTGAAATAATCTTTCTCCCTAAATGCTTTTATGGCTAGAAAAGCCTTCTTAGTGTTCTGAAATGTGATGTGGAAGTTACCTATCCAGGTGCTCTTGAAAACCGGTTCAAGAACACTAGAAATCTGATCCAATGTTTTGTGTTCTTAACAGTGCATGTTCTAAACAATTTGAGTGCATGTTGGCTTAGAGTTGGTTTTGCTGCTTTTTCCTTCTTATATAAAAATATACTCTGTTCTGCCACTATGTAGAGAACATGCTACAAACATGCAAAGTTACTAATTTTCTTTAAATAAGACTGTTAATCTCATTTTAAACTTCTACTCTGTCATTTGTATCGAATTCTGGATGTGAAAGCTTGAGCTGACAAAATATCGGTGGGCTGACTGGGTTATGTGTAGTATCAGTGAACACTTGTCTTTAAGCATTCTATTTTGTGGCTGCAATAAAGCAAGAATTCATTTCTGACTATATCAACAAAAATTACCTGGTTGCTTGCAACCAAGTGCAGTCTTTATTTTTGGATTCTGGAATGGAGGGAAACATACTAGTTGCTAGTGGTACAGCTCTGGGTTGCAAGTGGGTTGTGTAAGTTTTGATGCTTGATTCCATGGGTAGGACTGTGGGATAGAATCAGCATAGTCTTTGGTATGTATGAAGGGGGCAAAAATCAGTTATTTGAGTGTCAAACTTTTTAGTCTAGCTTTTCAAATAGTTCTAGTTAAGGCAAAGCAATCTGTTATAAAATTCCCTGCTGCTGTTGAATTACACTTAGGCTGAGTTACTCTTGAAAATGGGGAATGAAAAATTAAATGTATATGAAGTTTTATTATTTAGATACATAATCAGGTGTTCTTTTTCTTTTCTCAAATGTTCTTTTCTGTGAGAAGCTTTTTTCTGAAATCGAAGTATATCTTCTGTCATATCCCTAAAAGACGATGTTACGATCTTTATCGTCTGGCGCAGGCAAAAAAAAGTCACAGCTGAAGAAGGAAGAGCTGCATACTTGATGTCAGTAGGTTCTTCTTGTATTTCTGAAGTGTAGCAAGGATTTTGGAGTTGTTATAACCTCTGAAATTGACAGGATCTTGGATGCAGTGGGCATCTGCACTGGCTTCTGGGATTTCTCCTGAGTGTCAGTGCTTTGAAGCTAGCTAGTTCTGGTGTAGCGTGATTCTGCTGCTGTGCAATCTGTGGAGAAACACTGTCTGAGATTAGTCATCTAGGGACTGGGACTGGATAGCATACTGCAGTGTGCAGCTACCTCATATCTTAGGTGCAGTTCATGTTTATTGCTGCACAGCAGGAGACCTGTTGAAATGAATATTTTGTCACTGGTTCTGAACAGCAGTGCCCTCAGCCTTTTCAACTCATAAACTGTATTGTCACAAGGATGGGAAATAACTAATTGTCTGCAATCGTCAGTTTATTTTAGTGTAGAGCAAGAAATAGTAAAATCTGTTGTAAGTGCAGAAAGAACTCTTAAGTGTTCACTGGGTTTTTTTTTTAAGAGATAAATTCACCTCGTCCTATGGTAAAAATGCATTCTCAAATGCTCCGTGCTGGTTCATACAGAGGGTGTTCCAAAGTCCTGTAGTCCGTAGTTTGTCTTACCTGACTCATTGGAAAACTAGTCTTGTACATGTAATGGTCCTGCTGTCTTGGAAAGAATGGAATGTGAGACCTCTCAGACTTAACAGAGATGGGGTGGAAAAGCTTTGACTTCTGTATCCCATGGAGTTGGGATTTCAGTCCTGGTCTGTGTTTCTTGACACCAACAAAGAATGAGCTGTCGATATACACTGTATGTTTCCAGTTGCCGTTTTAATGTGCGCAGTCTTTGGTTACTCACTGCCTTATAAACAGTGTGTTTTATTTTCCTTCTATTGCCAGTTTCATCCTGTGCACTGAAGTTTCTTACCCTTTTCTTTGGTTTGATAACACAATTGGACACCGTAATAAAACTCCTGAATCTTTTTAGTTGAAGCAGTGTTTTTGTACTCATCAATCGTTGTGAGCTGCACAACTCACAAATACTGAAAACTGAAATAACATGAAATGGAAAGCTTACACAAGTTAGACATCTAATCTGTTTAGAAGTATGTCCCAGAAAAAGCTGTATGTCAGATCCTTGAGAAGAAAATGTTAGAAACCTTGCAGTAAGTATATATATATATATGGACTACAGAAAACAGCTCTGTGCAAGACTTCGAAGTCCCTTTGCGTGAAGGTAGCATCACCTGTAGCTGAGTTATTCCCTTAATGTTTGTCTTGCCTGTTCTTTAAAACCTCTGATGATGGAGACCCCCCACAGTACCTAAGGCAATACACTTTAGTAGAGATTGTTTCTGTTCCCTGGTAAGTAGGGTACAGTGGAAGGTGCTAATCCAGAAACAAGAGGAGAAGTGTTAAAAGGACAGTGAAAAGTAAATTCAATATATTTTTATTCTTTGTAAATACAATGAGTACAACTTTTTAACTTCACAAATCAGTTAATCCACTTTGTACAGAAAAGTTTTACTCATTCTATGATAGTCCAAGTGCTGATTTTTCTCAGTGCTAGTTTCTAATAACAAATCAAATTTTGAAAAGTACAGCAGCTATCTTTAATTTTTTTCTACGTGGTTCATACATCAAATAAGCAGCTTATAACATTTTTGTGTGTAAGAGGGTGTAGGTGAACAAGGCTTCAAAATTAGAACCTGGAATTTTCTAAAAAGGCATTGGAGACTTTCAAAAGTTGTTAGCATCGTTTCAGTCAACCAACTTTATTTCCTTGAAATAAAAGTATTTCCGTTGGTGTCTTTACAGTCATTTTCACTTCTCTGCGCATCTCACTGACAAAGAGTTTGGCTGCCGTTGCCTTTGGTTTCAGCAGTGTGCCAACGGGACAGCCAGCAGGTCACTGAAGCAATCATCTCCATTGGATTTGGTTTTGCTGTTTTTGTCTTCCTTCCTTGACTTGTACTCTTTGCCAGAGGCTGTGTGGATGGGTGCGTGTGTGTAAGAAGGAGAGAAGGATTGGGGAGTTGTATAAAGCTCTTCTGTCATGAGATGTTAATTCTGGTGACAGCTGCATCACAGATCACCAGTTTTATTTTGCAGGAAGAATGGAACTGCTGTCATAAGCTACTTTTTAATCAGTTCTGAAGGCCACTTCATGATGTATTACTGCAGAAGCAATGTTTTGGTAACCTGGTCTTAAATGTTGCCTATCGTATTAAAACATTTTACCAACATAGGCTACTTTTAGAACAGTTCTGAAGGCCACCACATCTCGCATTACAACAGAAGCCAAGTTTGGTCACCCAGTTCCAAATACTGAACAAAACTAAAGTACCTTCTTTCACATTTCGTCTCAGATCTGCCAGTTAAATGAGAGAATAGCACAGTCTTTGTTAACTATGACTGGCATCTGAATTGCCTCCATCCTGTAGTAACAGGAAAAGCAGCCAAATTCCAACCACTTTCACTTTTTCTGTAGAACAAAGCATTCTCTCCATGATCTAAATCGCTCTGTTCAGAGCAGCAGAATCATATCTACTGGGGTATTTTTTTGTCAATGGGTTTAAAGGCTAAACATTCCCAGGCTTATGCTTCCTGTAGATTTTGTTAGTTGAGGCTTATTCTCCATAGATAAAAGTTCTTCTCAAACTGTCCGTCCTGATCGTTTGTTTTAAGGAAATTTATATGTCACTGGATTTGTACATATCTGAAAGCAGTCTTGTGATTGGTACATTCCCAATGGTCTTTTTGAAAAACACTTCTTCTATTGTAGATGGACTAATAGAACGTAAAGCTGGTAGAAGCAATAAAAGTTTTCCGAAACGACAGGGTTGTGTAGGGTACCTGGAAAGGAGAGAGGGAAAAAAAATGTTAGTGAAGTTTTTTGATGTTTCTCCAAAGAAAATCTTTTATGTTATAGAGGAGACCAATATTCAGTGAACTGTACAGATGGGTGCTACCTGTGTAAACCCCTGCTTTGTACTCACATGAACAAGAAGGCTGACCCCAAGGAAAACTCTCTTAATGGAGGTTAGCAGAATATAGAGCAAGGTCCCTGAGTTTTGATTAGCTCCCTTGTTTATTCCCTCAGAGTAGTAGCAATATAGATATAGGATCTGCTCTGGCTAGTCCCTCCGACAGTAGCTATGTTCTTGATGCAGTTCAGGGACGAGCTTGACCTATAATAAATACCTTGTCATTTAAAGTGCAATTTAAACTTAGCTGGATTGTCATGGTAATCATTTTGCCTCCTGATTGCCTTACACGTTTAATAACAATTGACATTTTGAAAGAATTTTTTTGATTAAAGAACCTGTGTTTTGTCCCCAGGTAATGTATTTGCATAATAGGATATTTCCCGTTCTTTCTCACAGCTTTTGAAGCTGATATAACCCAAGATATGTATTCTACTTGTGCTTACACTGACTTCACACTAGTGTAATTCTCAAGTCTCTGTGTAGCAGTGGTTTTCCTATAAGCAGAAATAGATCCATGAAGAAACATTTCTCCAGGCCGCCTTCCTTTGCACCCTGCTGAGTGCAGCTGCCCCCACTGCAATCGAAGGGCAGCAGTACTCTGACACTGACAGGAAGGTACGCTCAAGACTGAGGGTGAAGCAGGAGGTGAAAGCCAATGGAGTCAGTGTGACAGTTCTGATAGCAGAGCCAGGATTTCTCCTTTTCTAGAAAAGCAGCAGAAGCTTTGATTTCCTGACCTGGGAAGATGAGGTTGTTGAGCGAGTAGGCATTACTCAGAATACAGGCAGCCTTTCACTGCATTATTTGCTGCAGTTTCTTTGAGACAAGTAATCTTTTATAAAAGATTCTCTTTAGCTTAATATTTCCTATAGTGCAAAAATGTAATGGAGATGTCACCATGCCTGGAATGGAAAACATGGCAGTGTGACAATATGTTTCCCTGGCTTTTCTCTCCAACAAGCCCTGGCTCACTCAGAGTCTCCAGGGAGCACTCTCCGTGGGAAAGGCCTCCTGTGAGAACAGGAACAGGTTGCTGTGCAGTAGTGATTCTTTTTGCTCTGAACTAGCCAGAACTGGACAGAATTTGTGTTTTTGCTCCCATCTGCAGGGCAGGACATTGCCTTTGGGCTAAACAAAAGTGCTTCAAAGACTGCTGCCAACTATTCTCTAACATGGAGTTGACTTCTGCTATGCAGAACTGCTGTTAGAGCAGATGAAAGTTTCAGAAACAAAAACAGCATAAAAGAGCCTCTTCCACCACTTCGTCTCCCACTGTGCTGATCTCATGGGTCTCTACTGCATGGGCTATGATGTGGACTTCACAGGACCTGCTGCAGCTCTCCCCAGGCATCCTGATCCAGCTGGGAAAGTTGATGCAGAGGGTGTACTCTTTTGGTTCTCCCTGCCCCTCCTCTATGTACAGTTCCATGGCAGGAGGTTGCTCATTCTGCTCGTCCCTTCAGCCACGTGTTAGAGTGGGGATTTGCATTTTGTATAACATATGTAACCCATTCCTGGGTTTAGCCCTGTACAATTTGTGGGATGCCAGCTACAGCTTGTAGAGCAGGTTTTAAGATTGCTGTGCCCTAGGAAACCTACACTAGGTGAGACAGGTGATTTTTTTCTTCTGAAACTGATTCTCATCACTCTGCTCTGACACCAAGATGAGTTTCACAAATTTATTTTTTTCATTTTATCTGGGAAGAGTCGCTTAGCTTCTTTGTTTCTTAATTTCTCTCTGCAAAATGGGAGAAATGACACTTGTCAGAGGAAAATCTCTCCTTCTCCCATTTTCCATTTGTCTGAATAAACACCTTTCTCATTTCCTTGGGAAATGCCTAATTCCGGGAGGCCGGCTGCTGTAAAAACCTGGGTGGTTGTGTCCTCTCTGCCACAGCAGGAGCGGGATGTCACCCCTGCAGCTGCGGGAGGGATTGGACGGAGCTTACCTGGTATGGATGTAGCTGTTCAGGGTGAGCTGGGCCTCGTCCTGGAGGGCGGCGATGGCAGCGGCATTCCGGAAGCTCCTCAGCTCGGACCCGCTGTGTGTCGGCACTGGAAAGCAGATGGTTACAGCTCAGTGGGGTCGAGACAGACCAGCTGGCATTACCTATGTACATTAAGCAGTCTCACTAGTTCCCCAGTGCTCCACTGCCAGCCTTTCAAAGCACAGCACTGACTATTGGAATTCCACACCAGGAAGCAATGGGGTGGTGTGGTGCTACGTGTGGTTTAAAACGTCATTTTCACTTTTACGTGGCAACTTCGAAGCTATTGGGCCAGACAGGTGTGAGGTGACCTCTGCTTACCAGCTTTGAAAGTGACGATGCATTTGAGACAGGCAAATTCAGTAGCATCTAAACGGAGTTGTCTAAATCTAGCCACAACCTCCTGTAAAGCCTGTATTTCTGAAATAATTTTATTCAGCTTCTGAGAATCTGTATTGTCACCGTTCATGCCTGAAACAGAAACAGATGAAATAAATAATATTAAATGCATTTGTTTTATTTTATACTGATTTCTGACAAAATCCTGCGTATCGATATCCATTCTATTGTCACACTTGTCTATCTGGTTCCATGTAAACTGACTATATTGTATGAAAGTTAATATAAAATCTTCTCTTGGATGATAACAAACACAGTAATTTGCATTTAAATGACAATGCAAGCAGTCATGAATACAACAAAACAACATTATTTGCATTTAAATATAGATTTATAAATGACAGGTATGCTCTATTGTTCAGTAGGGATTTGTTATTCTTTACATGTTGTTCTTTTTTCAGTAATGTATTTTTATGGTAATTTTTGTAACAAAGTCATTAAATTGTGCAATTCTTACCAGATACAGCCAGTAGAGTGTTAGCATCAACTGGAATGGCCCATTGTGCTATTCCTAGAACAAACAGTTCTCTCCAAGCATCTTCCAAAAGCATCAGCTGTCATACAATAGATGTACAATATAACATAGTGTATAATTTATAGATTTACAAACAATTTAAATATGTAAATTTCTGTTATTTTAAAAACTGCTTTAAATGCTTGTCATGGTATTTTCCCCACCGAATCTGTTAGTTCTTCTCTTAGCTTTTAGAGGAGGTGTCTGGAAATGAGACTATGCGTTGTAGAAAATCACTTGGTGTTGGCTCACTATGCACTGTGTTGTAGACCAAAAGGGAAGAGAAAGGAGAGTGAGAAGTCCTGCCCCTGAGAGCTTGCACTTGACCTGAACGCTTGCCTATGTTTTTCAGCACAACTCCTGGCAGCGTGGGCTTTCTCGTGCTCTCCGTGGGCACATAGAACTGTCCTAGTACAGATTGGAAGAGTGCTTTCCTCCTGTTCTCTGGGGATTTTCAGCTCTTCCTAACAGCCATCAGCAGGGCAGTGGGCTCTGAACTCAGCATTCGAGCAGCTATGCTGTCAGCATTGCTACTGCTACTTCCCTGCAATTTTTGTACATTGTCTGGCTTTACGAATGATGTGTTTTTCTCTGGAGGCAATGCCATCTATTTCCGTGGAGAGGCACTGGTGCATATGAGGAGACGTAACTCCTGATAATGCATATGGCAAAGCCAGTACTTAGAGAATCTAAGGGTTATTGGCCCAGACCAAATCTTAGGAGGGGTTTGGAGGGTCCCAGTTCAACTGACATTTGTTAGCTCCCTGACTCAGCCTAAGGGATGTGCTGGGGTACTTCCTGTCTCTCTGTATGCTGGGAGAGATGTGGAGAGGTGAGACTGTAGTGGGCTCAGAAGGGGTCATCTCATGGCTTCATTCAGTGAAAACGGATTGTGCAGAATGCACGGCAAAAAGAGCAAACCACAATAATATTGCTGTGGTCCCTGAAAATAGCAGCAGGGAGATAGAAAAGAAGGCATATGAAGTCTAGAAAATTCTGAGAAAGAAATACCTCATACCAAATGAATGTTTTCCTTGGAATTAGATATATAAAAGTAATAGATGATACAGAAAACATGCGCTAAAAATGAATCCCTTATCTAAGTGCCCTAACAGCACTGAGAGTTTTAAACCACCCTGCTCAGAACAGAATGAGAAGAGCTCTCATAAGCGTGTTGCTATAGTCTTAAGACTTCAGTGTGCTATGTACTTTGTAGAACTTCTACATAACTTGGTTAAGGAAATTGTGACTGAAAAGCATGTTGTCTCTGGTTACATATAATTTGTTTGAAATAATTTCATTGACAATGCTAGAAGCTGCCCAGATCATTTTATGCGGGGGGAGTCTAGGCACAGCACCAATCTCAGCTCCAGCCAGAGCAAGAAAACCTGCCCTTGAGCCTTGGAAATGCTGCAGTCTGCCTGCCCCAGCCCCTCCTCCAGGTAATCCTGATGGGTATACAGGTTTCTGTATGACATAGGAAATGATTTGCCAGCCTTTCATTTGTTTTTGTAATACGTTTTTTGTCATTCATTCATGCAGATACAATGGTAGTGAATGGTGGTTCCTGGAAGATATCAATTTCATATGTTCTTTCCCACTGAGCGTCTAAAGTCAGAGGACTTTAGAAATAAGAGACTATTCCGATGGCTGAGGCTTTCTTCATGCCTATGCATAAGTCTGTAAAACCATCAATTAAAGTAATTCATGCTGAAGTCATACTCAGCCCTTCAAAGAAACAAAAAATGCCAGGCTTTCTAAAGGACCGGTTTTTGCTTCTTAATCCATCTCATCTTGCTAGCACGGTCTTTTCTTGCTTTCTATTGCATTGGGCCGATCTGTCTTGTGGAGCAGCTGGGCAGGCTTCCGGGCCAGCAAGCTCAGAGCTGGCGTTTTGGTTGTGTGGCTCCACTACAACAGGGTGACGGGCTCTGAAGAGGTGGGAAAGGAGCAGCCTCTGCTTCAGTCAGAGGAGTCCAGACACGGACCTGTGTCTGGGCAGCAAATCAGCTTCTGCTTGTTTTCCTCAGGCTGTTCCGGAGTCCCAGAGTCACAGTGTAGTTCCCATTCCAGAAAAGCAAGAAGCAAGAGCAAATCCAGGAAAAGGTTTCTGATTCTACTCGAGCAGATGTCAGGGACACAAAAAGAGAAATTCAGACATTTATAGATGGGCCATTGTCAATTAAATACTGCAACGGCACTATTATAAAAATCAATGGTCTGATTATTTGTGAAATAAGGTGATTAAAATCAGGGTTATTTCTTCTCCAGCTTTCCTGAACACAACAGGAGACCCATGTGGCAAAAGGCCCAAGCAGCTCGAAGTTTTGAGGAAGACATTTTGCAATGAGGTACAGCAAGTGGGAATAAGGATCTAGAATGGCAGGGATTTTTATATGTAGTTCACTCATTTTAGCCTTGAAGGTGAAGCAGACAGTGGGTTGTTAATGATGGCAGGTGGCAGAAAAGCAGGCCTTGCTGGTTGAGGCGTGCCTGGTCTCAGCAACGGAGGCATCCCTTCTACCTCACACACAGAGATGGCCTGCTGGAAAATGCGTCCGTATGATGTCAAATGAAGCCTTCACCTAACGAGCTTCCCATGAATGTTGTTGGTTGCTGCAGACATTGCTGGTCCAGAGATGGGCCCAGCACCTTCCTGCACCCTGCAGTTGTACTGATGCAGCATGCTTACTGCACCTCCTTGGTAGTGGGGCCTGCTCCTTGAGATCCAATGCTGCACAGGAATAACAGCAGCAGAAGACAGTAGTAGAAACCAGCATACTGTAGTGAGACCACTGCCTTCCTGAGGGTGGTTGCTTAATGCCTGTGCAGCCTCCTGGGCCCTGCCCATCCCTCCTCTCACACACTCAGTCGCTGACAGCATCACAGCTGCTTGTTAATCTGCTATGAAGACAGAGGTTTCAAGATCTGGTGCTATAAAAAAGACTTTTCAATAGACCTTAGCTCTATGACACGCTATGATGGTGTACCCTTCAGCATAAAACTGTGTTCCCTAAGAAGCTCAGTCCAAAATCTATACTTGCACGTGTACTGCAAATCTTGCAACATGAATCCATGGAGAGCAACTAGTTCCTCTGATGTCTGGTGCATGCAACATCTGAGGCATGGCATTTCTAGCAACAAGTTTGTGAAATTAGCTCAATCATATCAAACTATTAAACATCTTTTATGATTGGAGTTTTGCGTAGAATTCTCCCCTTCCTTTTTATAATTATCTGATTACTTTTTTAGAATTAATGCGTTATACAAAGCACACAGCATCCTCATCAAGAATCAAGTCATTAAGAAATCGCTTCATCTTGTATGGTTCACATGTGATTTACTTGAAGCAAAGACAAATTGTCGTAGAGGAAAACAAGACAGATTAGGGAAGATTTTAATTAATGGTGAAAAAATATTGGGGGCTGGCCAAATTCTCATGCCACTATATTGGACTAATTGTATTGTAAGTTTGCAGAAAACAACTGAAACAAGAAAAAAATGTTGTCTGTGTAAACAAGTGTAAGGGAGGGGAGAGAGGAGAGGAGAGGAGAGGAGAGGAGAGGAGAGGAGAGGAGAGGAGGAATGATCATCAGAAATCCCTCATATCCTCCTGGTCTGTATGTTTAACTAAGTACACCCCATTGTGAAATAACAAAATTAGATGCTATTCCTATTTTTTAGAAGAAAAAATCAAGACATAGGCAATTTCTACATAACTGCCTTTTTTTTTTTTTTTTTAGCAACAAAGTGGAACTCTGCCCTAAGCTTTAGAGCTTTTTAGGTCCATGATAGATAAAAAGGATTATGTGTGAAGGTTCCAGTCTGAGCTCCTTTATCAGGCAGGCCAGACTGATTCACTCCCTCTACAGGAGCCTTACCTGGTCTTGTAAGGACAGGGTGGAGAAGGCCGGGACACTCTTGGCCCACTTGATGCTCATGAACAGAAGTCTGGCTGCTGACTCACAGACAGATTCGGTGGCCACCTCGTAGAGATACATGGGGGTACCATTGACTTCATGCGGGTACTAATGTCAGAAAGAAAATAAAATGACTTCACACAGTGTCTCCACAGCAGCCTGCCCTTCCTTTCCCTTACAGCTGCTGCTCTGTGAATCATGCTGATGCCCAGCACACAGCATGCACTCTCCTGTTCTGCAACCAGATGGCATTGCTTCAGTGAGCCCACTCCACCCCACTCTTTGCTGCTGTCTGTGTGCGTGGACTACACTACAAAAACAGCTCATTGAAGGATGCTGAAGGGAGAATGACATTATTACATCTGGGAAAACATTATTAAAATGTGGTGTCATCCTTCATGCTGTTACACGATGGCACACCTGTGGTGGAAGAGTCAGAAGGATACCATGTTTGATTAAAGATTTTTATTTTGTAACCTGAGCTTGGGAGGCTACCCTGGCAATCCAGCCTTGCACAGCAGAACAGGGAGCACTTGTTTACCCCTAACCCTTTGTCCAACTCCCCAAGTGCCACAGGCTGTAAACAGATGTGTAGAAATAACCACATCTACCTATAGGACTGGAGTTGGGTGATGTTTCCAAGCATGTGTTGTGTTTTCTTCAAATTTCTGATTCAGCATTTCCCCAAATTATAATATGAAACTCTGTGTGAAGATCATGTCCATGATGCCAGGCTACCAACTCTGGAAGTGTAGAACTATTAACTCCTTTTCTGTCTAATTTCATAAGTGCTGTGAATAAGAAAAATGCCATTGCAATTAGATTAAAGAAAACTTTGCCTAGTGACTAGTGTCTGTGCGGTTGAGGCCATGGCAGTACTTCCAATGGGCTGCTTAGGAAATGTCACAGCCAAGAGGCACAGAGCTAACTTAGCCACATTGGTGTGGACAACCTGCTTGCTTTGGTCAGCACAGGGAGCACTTTCTGGACCACCATGGAGATGGGTGTTTTGCTGAAGAAAACTCAGTCACTGCAGCTCATAAAGTTTAAAATTGACCTGAGAATACATTCCGGACAGGAAGGGCAAGTTATCAGCTGATCTTTCTGCATCTACTTCTTGCAAAACGAACCTCACCCTTTACACAGAACATGGGGAAAGTGCGATTGGATACTCCACCACAATCCGTATCACCCCGAACCTTGCTCTTTGCCACAACCACGCTGTTGGCCCATCCCAGCAATAGGCTCTGCAGTACCATTAGGGTCTTTGGGCTGACCTTTGGGGTGGGCTGCGCCAGGCCCACCAGGGCCTGCCTCTCAGGGGTGCCAGCAACGGCAGCCAGTTCCAGGCCATGGGGCTCCAGCTGGGAGACTGCAGTGAAGAAAGCGGGTGCTGGCAGGGCAGTGGCAGGAAAGTGTGGGGCACCGCTGCTCTCCTCCTTGTGTCCGCGGAAGTAGAGGGCCACCTGCTTCCGTATTGTTGATGTGCGTGGACCTCGTTCGTGCTGCACAGCTGTGGAACACCGAGGAGAAGTTATGACTTTCATTGGCTGAAGGATAAATAGCTGAGGGAAGGGAAGGGAAGGGAAGGGAAGGGAAGGGAAGGGAAGGGAAG